CAACATAAATGTACACGTAGACATATAATAATTAAGATCTCAGACATAAAAACAGAGTACTAGAAGCTGTTAGAGAACAGACAAAACTCACCTATCAAGGAAAGCCCATTAGAATCACAGCAGACTTTTCAGCACAAACCCTCAAGCTAAGATGAGCTTGGAGTGAGGTATTTCAAGCCCTGAAAGAAAACAACTTTCAACCCAGACTGATGTACCCAGAAAAACTTTCATTCAAATTTAATGGAGAAACAAGATACTACCATGACAAAGAACAACCGAAGAAATTCACCTCCACCAAACCACCAAACCCTAGAAAGAGTACTGAAAGACATACTAGATAGAGATAGAAATGACCACAATCCCCAGAACAACAACAGAAAGAAACCAACAGGTAGGACATGCAGCTAAACAATGGGGAAAAAAGAAAGCAGACAACTGGACCATAACATGGCAAAGTCGAGTCAGTACATATCAATGATATCCATAAATCTAAATGGCCTCAATTCACCTATCAAAAGAAACAGGTTGTTGCAAGCAGGCAGTCGTGAGTTTGATCCCCGATACCGATAAAAGGAAAAGACAAAAAAAAAAAAAAAAAAAAAAAAAAAAAAAAAAAACAGGTTGACAGAATGGATCAAGAAACATGATCCCACAATATTCTATATACAAGAAACACATTTAACCCAAAAGGAAACTCATAGATTAAAAGTCAAAGGATGGAAAACAGTATTTCATGCAACAGGAACTCAGAAAAAAGCAGGGGTAACTATTCTATTTGCAGGCAACATGAACTTCAAACCTAAATGATTAAAAGAGATAAAGAAGGTCACTATATACTCATTAGTGGAAAAATTCAAGAGGAAAAACTAACAAATATAAATATATATGCACCAAATACAGGAGCACCCAACTACATAAGAACACAATCATAATGGGGGAACTTAACAGCCCATTGTCACAAAGAGATAGATCAACTAGGCAAAAAGTCTGCAAAGAAATAGTAGAACTGAATCATACCTCAGAGCAACTGGTCTTAGTAGATGCTTACAGAGTGTTCCACCCAACCATATCAGAATATACATTCTTCTCAGCTGCACATGGGACATTTTCCAAAATAGACCATATGTTATCCCATAAAACATTCTTAAGTAACTGCAAAGGTATTGAAATTATCCCATGCATAATATCTGACCATAGTACATTGAAATTGGAAATTAATGGAAAAAGAAATTGCAAAATCTGCATAAAAACATGGAGATTAATTAACAACCTTTTGAACAACCAGTGGGCTACAAATGAAATAGAAGAAATAAAGCAATACCTACAATTCAATGAAAACACAGAAACAACATACTGCGCCCTGTGGGATGCAATGAAAGCGATCTTAAGAGGCAAATGTATAGCAATAAATTGTCATACCAAGAAAAGAGAAAGAGCACAAATAAACAACCTAATGCTTCATCTCAGGCTTCTAGAAAAAAGAAGAGCAAGTTAAACCCAAAGCTCATAGAAGAAAGGAAACTGCAAAGATTAGAGCAGAAATCAATGCAATTGAAACGCAAAAGAAAAATGAATCAAAAAGCTGTTTTTTGAGAGAATAAACAAAATTAAACTGACAAACCTCCTGCTAACCTTATAATGACAAAGAAAAAACCCAAATTCACGCAATAAGAACTGAAAAGGGGTAAATTACAACAGATACCATGGAAATTCAAAAGATCATAAATACCTGCTTTGAAAATCTCTGCTCACAGAGTGGAAAACACAGAGAAAATGAACAGATTTCTAGAAACATATGAACTACCAAAGCTTAGCCAAGAATATAGCAATTTTGAATAACCCCATTATCAGCTACTGAAATTGAAAACATGATTAAAAACTTGCCAATAAAGAAAAGCCCAGGCCTTGATGGATTCACGGCTGAATTCTATAAGAAATTTAGAGAAGATCTGATGCCAATACTATTTAAACTCTTTAATGAAGGTGAAAAGGAAGCAATCCCTCCTAAATCATTCCTGTATTACTCTGATACCAAAACCAGAGAAAGAATCAACCAAAAAGGAGAACTATAGGACAATCTCACTAAAGAACATTGATGTAAAGATTCTCAACTAAATACTGGCAAATAGAATGCAGCAAATCATCAAGATTATATATCATGACCAAGTGGGATTCATTCTAGGAATGCTGGGATGGTTTAAAATATTCAAATCAATAAATGTAATATACCACATCAACAGAGCCAAAAACAAAAACCATAATGGTCATCTCAATAGATTCAGAAAAAGCTTTTGATAAAGTCCAACACATGTTCATGATAAAAACCCTTCAGAAACTCAGGATACACAGTGTCTACCTCAATCATATAAAGGCCATCTATGACAAACCAACAGGCAACATTATATTAAATGGACAAAAACTGAAAGCTTTCTATTTAAAATCAGGAACAAGACAAGGATGTCCACTATGACCACTCCTATTCAATATACTGGAAACACTAGCCAGGGCAATCAGATAAGAGGGAGAAACAAAAGGAATAAAAATAGGAAAAGAAGTTAAATTATCATTATTTGCAGATGACACGATACTATACATATAATATAGTAAAAACTATAAACTCCATTAAAAGACTACTAGAAGTAATAAATTCAGCAGCGTAGCTGGATACAAATTCAACACGAAAATCAGTAACATTCCTGTACACAAATGAAAAACTCACCAAGAGAGAAATTACGGAAATATCACCATCACAATAGCATCTGAAAAAATGAAATACTTAGGAATCAACCTAAGAATGTAAAAGACATACATACTGAAAATTATGCTACACTAAAAAAGGAGATTGAAGGGGTTATTAGAAAATGGAAGGATATTCCTTGCTCTTGGCTAGGAAGACCCAACATTGTGAAAATGGCCATACTCCCAAAACTGTTATACAGATTTAATGCAATCCCAATCAAAATACTATTAACATACCTCTCAGATCTAGAGAAAATACTACTAAAATTCATTTGGAAACAGAAGAAACCTAGAATACCAAAGGCAATTCTGGGCAACAGAGGCAAAGGAGGAGGCATCTCAATTCCTGACTTAAAACTATACTATAAAGCCATAGAAATAAAATTAGCATGGTACTGACAAAGAAACAGACCTGAGGATCAATGGAACCGATTAGAAGATGCAAGCACAACTATGAAGACACTCAGTCACCTGATAGTTGACAAAGGGGGGTAAATATGTTCACTGGAAGAAGGATAGACTCTTTAATAAATGGTATTGGGAAAACTGGCTTTCCACATGCCAAAGACTGAAACTAGATCCATGTCTATCGCCATGTACAAAACTAAAGTCTAAATGGATCAAAGACCTAAATATTAAAACAGAAACATTAAATCTACTGGAAGATAAAGTAGGCAGTCTTCTGACATAGGGTTAGGCAGATAATTCATGAACAAAACGCAAACTGCACAGGAAACACTTCAAAGAATCAACAACTGGGATCTCATATTATTGAAAAGTTTCTGCACTTCAAAGAATCAACAACTGGGATCTCATATTATTGAAAAGTTTCTGCACTTCAAAAGAAATCACCAACAGAGTGAAAAGAAAACACACAGAAGGGAAAGAACTATAGCCAGCCTCCCCTCAGACAAAGAACTTATATCCAGAACATATAAAGCATTGAAAAACAACAAACCCCCCAAATTCAAAGATCCTCTCCAAAAATGGGCATCTGGGATGAACACATTATTCTCAAATGAAGATATACAAATTGCAAATAAATACATGAAGAAATGTTCACCATTACTGGTCATTCAAGGAATGCAAATTAAAACAGCACTGAGATTTCATCTCACTCTGGAAAGAATGGCTGCCCTCAAGAAATCAACTGATAACAAATGTTGGCGAGTATGCGGGAAAAAATGGAACATTGCTCTACTGTGGTGGGAGTGTAGACTGGTGCAACCACTATGGAAATCAGTATGGAGAATTCTCAGAAGACTAGGATTGGAAGTTCCATTCAGCCCAGCTATTCCCCTCGTGGGTTTTTTCCCAGAAAAACTGAAAAGGTCATATCACAGTGATATACGTGCACCCATGTTCATAGCAGCTAAATCTTGGAGACAACCAAAATGCCATCAACCGCAGAGTGGATGAAAAAGATGTGATATTTTTATACAATGGTATATTACTTGGCTATAAAAAGGATAATCTTCTTTTTATTTTAAAGATACTTCATAGTCAAATGGAGACAACATGAGGCTGTTCTCATTCGTGAAATAAACAAGAATCGTATTTATATTTGGGTCTCTAGTGTAAAAAGGAATAAGAAATGTAGGAGTAATAAAACCCACAATGTGTAATTGCTATTGTAGAAAAGAGAGGAAAAGAAAGTGCTCTAAAGGACATAACTGCATGTATGTTTAAGTGCATAGCGTTGATAACTGTATTACTAAGTTTTTATTGGATAGTTGAACAGAACTGTTTGCCGTCTCGCTGTTTGAATGTCCACTCTGTATGCTTCACTTTTGTAATTTGAACAACTATTTATAAGAAGACAATATGTAATTATCAACTAGTGATTTCTTACTGTTTATTTTTTATTTGAAAGTATGTATTATTTCAATCTTTTTTGTTTTTTTTTCTTTAAATAAAAAAGTGATTATAAGCTGAATATACAAAGACCTCTATAAAACCAAATACTTTCCAATTACTATACCAAATATTAAGATTACATGCATTTTCGAGCATATAAGAATAATTAGAATTCTATGCATTTAAAAAGTGAGAAAATAAAATATTTCAAGGGTCTTAAAATGTCTTCATGTGTACTTCAATCTTCACCATCCATTATTTTCTGTGACATAATAACTTTAAGATTTACAGTTTAAAGCTTCTCCATAAAGTTCATACGGAAATATGACTACAGTATACATTGCCTCTTTCTTTATTAGGAAATGTGTTATTTAACAGTTAAAAAATAACAGTGACTCAAGTACCTTTTCTAGACCTTCTTCTTTAAGACTGATCACATCCAAATCAAAATCTGTTCGTAAGCCATTGGTTTTATTGAAAGTTATTCTGCCTGTGAGGCCTTCCCAATGAGCCTGTGGAAAAACAAAAGAAAACCAAAAATCACTAGAGTAGTATGCAAACACAGAACATAAATGCTTTCTTACGTCATAAGAAAACGTACTTTCATTACTTTTCATGAATTTGAATCGCTATAGATATTTAAAATATTTTAACTTGTCTCTGAAATTTTTCCTAAATTATTCTAGATTCAATATTAAATTTATTACAAATTTCATGTTGTACAGTTTCATTTTCACCAACATACGATGTTGGCTCCTCCAAGTTATGTAAATATCTGGATTTTTAAAATATAAAAGTTTCCAAAGTTAATCCAAATTAGATGTGTTCTATTATTTTTTTCATTTGGAAATAACTTGTGCTAAAATTTTATTTTTTTATTTTAAAGAGAATAAAACAAAACAAAACAGGTAGAGCAGAGTAAAACAATGCAAATAACACAATTTCAGAAAAAGACAACAAGTAATCAACGGTGCCTTCCACGATGTCTCGTGTTTTCTTTGAAATATTTGTCCATACCATCACATACAATAAGTTAATACAAATCAAATAGTATAAAAGCAATCAAAACAAAAGAACCCATAAGGGCTTTGAAGATCAGACAGTAGGAAATCTACAGTGGCTACCATAATGTCTCTCGTTCTCTTCAAAATAGCTGCCCATACCTTCATGCATATTGAAATCAAATAATTGAAAAAAGACTAAAACCAAGGATAAAAGCATTATTAGACTTCAAAGCAAAATGATAGAAATCATCTATGGCTACATGATTGAACAAAAATTTTAAATGATGCAATGAAAACCTCCAAATCTAATGTTAGAAATGATACACACCATGACTCAAAAGAAATGAATCCCAAAACATAACAGGTAATATTTCAATAGTGATTAAAAGGATTATCATTATCACAATATTCCTTAGTCTCAATGTGGTTCACAAACCTTCATCTGCTGGAATTCAAAAACAGTTTTTTATTAATTATAAATGAAATAAAAAATTATATATTATAACGTCTTCATCAAAATTTAACATATGTTGACTGGTTTGGAAAAAAAAAGCAATTCTGTCCAGTTTACTCTTAAGGAAAATTTAAAGTGGTGTCATGGTTTATGTCTGTGGCCCCCAGGCCTCATGAGTGTGAATTGTACATTTGTTATTCCTTCAGTGTCTAGTGCTTGGATTGATGGTGTCAGTGCTCCACCCACACAGGGGTGGAGCCAGGATGTGATGTAATGGCAGGAAGAAGGTGTGTCTTGCTCTTGGCTGGTTCCAGCTTGCTGTTTGCAGCTGCCATGAACTGCGGCCCAGCCATGCCCGCCTGCCTTGGAGCCAACTGAGTGTGGACTGAAACCTCCAAAAACTGTAAGAAATAAACCTTTCCTTTCCCAGCTTGGGCTTCAGGTATTCCATCTCAGCAACGAGTAAAAAGTAACTAAGACAAGCGGTCAACAAAATTGTAGAGCAGTAAGAAAGTAAATAGGGAATCAAGAAGTATAGTAATAGAAGAACGGGAGAGTAACACAGCTCTGGGGTAGAAAGAACAGAAATAGTTCAGTAGGTAAACTAACAAAATTCTAGCACAAGTTGCACGTCGGACTTTTTAGCTTCTCAAGCAGAGAATAAAATAATAATTAGGGTCCACTGATTAATATACCAGCTATGCAGGAGAAACAGCTTTCCCTCGTACTGAGGCCTAAGAAAGTTCTCCTGTTGGTTCTCACAAGGGGAACACTATGCGAAGTTCTTAATTACACCCTACAATAAATATGATAGATACCACCATAACACCATTTCTGTTTTTATTTTTTTAAATCTGTTTGACTGATGCCATGATACCAGTATTCGAATACACAGTCCAGAACTATCTGTTCTTCACCTAATCAATCTTTGGAATGTATTTATAACTCTCTGGTGCTCAGTTTTAAACTAGAAATAAATGTAGAGCATGCAGCAACCATAAAATTCAAATTCTCCAAGAGTATAAATGTACCAATAATTTTGGAGGAATTAGACAAAATTCACAGTTATTCTGGACAAGGATCTAGGAATTCTTATTCAGTTCTTTCCCTTTTTATTCTTATGAAGAACAATATCAGATGAATGGATGGGTTAGTATAAACTTTTATTGGAAAGTCTTACATGGTAATCATGTTTGTGAGTTTTATAACAAATATTAAGGCTCCTTAAACGTTTCTTAAACAGTATGCTAAGCTAAAAAAAAGACCTTTATTCACAATATGAGTGAAAAGAAGATACATGTATTTGTGCACATGTGTAGCCTTGAAGGGTTTTCCAGTTTTCTTCTTACTTCAGATGTGCTTGGCCCAGAGTTGCAGCAGCTACAGATAACATATGTTAAAATGTAAGGACTCTTTAAACATCTATATGGATAAATCCGTGAAAATTAACACAGGTGAAGATTCAGAAAGATACAAAGTAACAATATCATAATCAAGGAATCATAGGTCACAGGGATTCAGATTTTTGCAGTAGTATAGGTATTTTTATAAATTTTCAATTTACTTATAATGAAATTTATTTTATATTATTAGGGAAAATATTAGTTGTGTTTGGGAAGAAAAAGGAAAGCTTAATTTAAAATATAGTGCTTTTTTATTTTATTTAAAATAAAGTGAAAGGTCACCTGCTGGCAATTGAAATAATCTTACTTTATTCAGTTCAAGACAAAAGCAGGCAGGCTGTGCTCGCTCAGACTCACCTCCTTAATTAGGCTCATGAAGCGGGTCCCAAAGCGCCAGGGCTTGTGTCGATTACACTGCAAGGAGCTGACCGTCATCTGGGGAAACTGCTGGACAGCCACCGACACGATGTGCACAGCGTCGTACATGAGAGCAGCGTCGGTCTGCAGGCAGAGGGAAAGGAAGTGGACACTCACTACACGCGTGGGACCCGGGCCAGGGCATTCGGAAGTGGACGGACAGATGAGGTGAGAAACGCATACAGTTTTTTTATTTAAATGAAGCAAACATTTTCTCCAACACGCTATGGTTCATTTTCTTAACAGAAATGTGGTAATTAAAGTACTACATGAACTCCATTAGAGTATTTGTACCACCTATCTGTTCTTTGCACAGTAATAAGCCGATTGCACGTGGTGCCAGAGTTCCTGCTGATGCTGGAAATGCCTAAAGACATTTTTCTTTCCCTTTTTGATGTCTCTGTATGCATCTTACCTTGTCTTGACACAAACATGCTCTCTGTCTCTCTCTCTTTCTTCCAGAGTGAATGCACTTACTAATGTATGTTTGTGTAAGTCACATATAGTGTGCAGAAGAAATCAAGTAAGCAGTTTCCTTGTATAGGAGGAAGAAAAGAGCCTAAAAGATACTCATTCAGAATGCTTAAGACATAAACCCTGATCTTTCCTCAATTTTTCAAAAACTTCAATCTCAGAAATGATGCTGCTGTTTTGAATCTCAATGCATGCATTAATCCCTTTTCAAGAAACTAAACTTAATCCCTTGTGCTATTTTCTTTCTCTAAAATTTCCATATGAATAAAAGTTCATTTTCTTTTTCAAGTAAAATGAATATGAATTCTACTCTGCTGCACCTGCTCAAGTGACCAGTTGCTCTAGAGGTGGATGATAAAAATGAAATGTTTGTAAGTCACAACAAACCAGAGCCTCAGGGACTTCAAGTGCTGTGTTAAATGGACCCTCACATTGTGTTTGACGGATCAGTGCCAGGTTCACTACCTACAGAGGAGAGCCACACTGACAGGGCTGGTAGTGATGAACCAGACGCCATCTGCTTGGCATGCTTTAGAATAAAAGCGTGTGTTTCCTCCTCTCATTCACACAATTAGTGGGCTGTGAAATGAATTCCAAGATGAAGAGGAACCCTGTAGATACAGCACTTGCCACAACACGATACAAAATGAGTACACATAGTAGCTTTTATACAAATGGATCTTGAGGAGTTTTAGCATATGAAATGGAAAAGCACAATGATAGAGCATAATAATAATATTATATTATAGTTCATAAGTCTTTGAGGAATATAGCTCAGGTTGAAAATCCTTATTTGATGAATATCTGCTAATTTCACAAACCTGGTTGACTGCATAGTAAAAACTATTGCAGTGAAATGGATACAGACATAGAACATAAGCCTGAGGATTGCACTGATGTTTGTTTGTGGTTTGAATTAATGCTGAAAGACCGTATTTCATATACCACATGGTTACATACAAATAAGCTTCCATATTATGTCAGGTTGAACATTGTTTTCAAAATAAAAATATTTTTACAGTTTATTACTGTTCATAGGCCTACAGATAAATCAGTTCTTCCAGACACTAAGGGATGCTTCACAACATCACTACAAGAATCTTAAAGTTATATATACTCTAATTAGATATTCCTCTTTATGAAAAAAAAAACATGAAAATGAAGACTATATATACTAGTAAAAGTCTCATTGAAGAAAATGAAATCATATCATCGACCACAATGCAATAAACTAAAAATTATTAACAGAAACACTAAGCATTGACTTACTCCTGAGCAATCCATGGATCAAAGAAGAAATTAAGATGGAAAAAAGTGATGAAAACAAAAGAAAAGAGATAAAACATACACACCTGTGGAATACAGCAGAGTAACACTAAGCAGAAAGTTGACAGCAACCAATACGTACATCACAAGACAGAAACACTTCATACAACATATTGCTTAACCTCAAGAAAGTATAAAAGTTAGAATAAACCAAACCTAAAGCTAGCAGGAGGACAGAAATAATAAATATCAGGGCAAAACTAAAGACTGAAAATGATGTAAAAGATCAATAAAATCCAGCGCCATTTTCTTGAAAGGATAAAATTGCTGTTTAAACTTTTAGCTGAACTATGAAAAAAGGAAGAAGATTCAAATATAATTAGATAAAAAATGAGACATTACGGTTGATACCACAGAAATATAAATCATCAGATTATTATGAAAAACTATATTCCAACAAATTTGATAACCTACAAGAAACACCTAATTTTCTGGACACATATACCTTAATTACATTGAGTTATGATGAAATAGATACTGAAAAGACCAATAATGAATCCATAATGGACCATATTAAATCGGAAATAACATAGTCTCCTATCAAAGAAAAGTCTCAAATCAGATGTCTTCACTGCTGAATTTTATCAAATATTTAAAGGAGGAAAAGATATCCTTCCTAAGTAATTCTAGGAGGCCAGTATTAGCCTAATACCAAAACCAGACAAAGATAAAACAATAAAAAAGAAAGCTATAGGCCAATATACTTGATGAACATAGACTGAAAACGCACCAACAAAATGCTTGTAAAAAGGATTCAGTAGCACATAATAAAGGCTATTAAACATGATAAACTGGAATTCAGCTTAGGGATGTAAGGAAGGTTGTATATATGAAATCAAAAAACAGATTTCAACACATTCACAGAATGAGGGGCAAAGTTCACATAATCGTCTCAACAGATGTAGAAAAGGCATCAAGAAAAATTCACTATCCTTCGTGACAAAAAGTGCTGAATGATTTAGGTGGTGGGGTAGCAATCTACAAAATAATGAAAGCCATTTCTAACAAGCCAGTACCTCAGAGCGTACTCGGTGGAGGAAGCTGAGTATTTGACTCTATGATCTGCAAGAAGACAAAGGTGGCCGGTCACCACTTTCACTCAACATCATATTGGAAGCCCTAGTCAGAGCAGTCACACCGTAAGTGTCTACACAATCTTCCTTACATAAAACTCCAAAAACACCAGCCAAAAAATGTTTTACGATTAATGAACAAATTCAGCAAAGTGTGGGACATAAAAATCAATATAAAAATAAGTACCATTACTATACAGCAATAGTTAAATTATCTGAAAAAATCAAGAAAATAACCTCATATTAAATGGCTGTAAAATAATATAAAATGTTTAGGAATACATTTAAGTAGCAGATCAAAGACTGTTGCTATGTAACTATAAAACATTCATGGAAAAAACTGACAATATAAAGAAATGGAAAGATATTCTACATTTATAGATTGGAAATTAATATGGTTAAAATTCCCATACAACCTAAAGTGATCTACCAGTTCAAGGCAATGACTATCAGTGAATTTATTCAGAGAACTAGCAAAAAAAAAAATAGTAAAATCGGTATGGAACGACAAATCACTGAACGGTCAAAATAGTATTAGGCCAAATAACTCAGTAGATATTATACTACTTCACTTCAGGCTATACTACAAAGACACAGTGATCACATAGCATACTATCTGCATAAAATGAATATGTAGGTAAAAAGAACAGAATAGAGATCCTAGAAATAAACCAATACACCTGTAGAAAAAGATTTTTGACATATATCCTAGGACTATTTAATGGAGGAGAGTCTTTTCAATAAAATCACTGGCAAAATCAGATATACATATGCAGAATATAACTAGACCACTATCTCATACCCGTTCAAATTAGCACATTAAAAACTGAAATGCAAGGCTTCACCTACGAAACCCTTGGAAGAAACTGCAGTGAGAAATCTCAAGGACATTGAGATAAGAAACATTTTTGGAAAAAGATCTTAATAGAACAAGTAATAAAAGTAAAAAAATAAACAAATAGTATTACATAAACCTGAACAGCTTTTGCACATGAAAGGAATCAGTGACCTACAGAATTAGAGAAAACATTTACAAACTACACTACTGATGGATTCAAATGCAGAAACATAAGGAACTCAAGAAACTCAACATGTAAACAAAATAAGAAACAAATAATGTGATTAAAAATTGGTCTTGGACATAAATAGATATTTTAGTAACAGGCATATGAAAAGGCACTCAACATTACTAATCATCAGGGAAAGGCAGATGCAAAGCACAAGGAGATATCATCTTACTCCAGCAATAACAGCTGCTATTAAAGAGACTAAAGATAACAAGAAATGATGAGAATTCAGCTTACTGAAAAAGGAACACTTGTACACCGTCGATAGCAAAACACATTAATATAGCCACTATGGAAAATATTGTGGAGTTGCCTCAAAAGCTTCAAAATAAAGCTATCATATTATCCATCAAAGTCACTTGATTATTCATCCAAAGGAGATGAAATCAGTATGTCAAAGAGAAGGTAAACTCCTACGCTGTTTGCAGCACTGTTCACAATACTCAGAAAGTAGAAACCACGTAAGTGCCCACGGATTGATGAATGGATTGAAAAACTGTGGTCCATATACAGAACAAAATACTACTCAGCTATAAAAAAGAATTAAATACTGTCATTTGCAAAAACATGGATGAAACTACAGAGCATTATGCTTAGTGAAATGAGCAGACACAGAAATAAGAGTCATGTATAATCTCACTGCTATGTAGAACATAAAAATTTGATCTCCCAGAAGTTAAGGCTGGAGCTGTTTTTACTAGAGGCAGGCTGGCGGAGCAGGGAGCAAAAAGGAAAGGTTGGCCAGTGAGTACTAACGTGTAAGTGCAGGATGGCTATGTAACAGTAATACACTACACAACTCAAAAACCTAGAAATTACTTCGTGTATTTTCACCATGAAAAAATTGTAAATCCTGGACCAGAGATAAGCTCAGTGGCACAAGCACCTGCCTGGCAAGCACAAGATCCTGTGTTTGATTCCCAAGGCCAAAAAAGGAAAATGTAAGTCTTGGAGGAGCGAGATTTGTCGAACCAGCATCAAATATTGTACAATCTGCCATGTCCGGAGGACAACACAGTGTCCCCTAAGTGTGTACAGTTTTTATGCTTATATCTATCAGTTTAAAATGAATTTAACTTTAAAACATGAATACTTTGTGAACAAATTATTTCTTGAATTTATGCTTTAAAGTCTGCTTACTTGT